TACTACTACTACTACTACTACTACTACGACTACTACTACTACTACTACTACTACTACTACTACTACTACTACTACTACTACTACTACTACTACTACATATACTACTACTACTACTACTACTACTACTACTACTACTACAACTACTACTACTTCTACTACTACACCTATCCTTATTCCTTATTAGAATATACTCCTACTCCCCCCTCAGGCCGGCAGATAGGGGCCGCATCCGGGTGGTCCCATCCTAACCTGTAAAAAAATACAAAATCAATGTTTTTGTTATTTTGTCCTCTCGACATGGACGTCCTGTCGTCAACGGCGATAATCCATTGCAAAAAATACCACAAAGAACACACGCGCGCGTTCATGTCATAATCCTACCGAACACCGTGTGTTTGCAAGCATTTCAACATAACAACATCAAAAACCTAATGCTTTTTTCACAAAAATTCGACAACATTCCTGCCCGGGCTCTCTTGCCGAAATCATAGGAAAACCATAGGAATCTTAAGAATTCTGTCACATCCAGCGATTTCACGTCATCGCGCGGTGCACTCGCGATGCTCTGTCATGCACCCAGGCCGCGAATCCTGTGCAAAAAATACCACGCGGGCGACATGCGCGCGCGTCGCCGCGAGCGCATGCTCAAATCCTTCTAGAGTCGTCGCCGTCATTGGCACCGTCGCATGGACCGTCCTGTCGTCCACGTCTCAAAATGCATGGCAGGAATGGGACGCGGCGCACACCCCGCGCCCGCCCATCCAATCCGTCCCATTCTAATCTGCAAAAGACAATACACAGTTTTTGTTACTACTACTACTACTACTACTACTACTACTACTACTACTACTACTACTACTACAACTACTACTACTACTACTACTACTACTACTACTACTACTACTACTACTACTACTACTACTACTACTACTACTACTACTACTACTACTACTACTACTACTACTACTACTACTACTACTACTACTACTACTACTACTACTACTACTACTACTACTACTACTACTACTACTACTACTACTACTACTACTACTACTACTACTACTACTACTACTACTACTACCACTACCTACTACTACAACACCACTACCACTGGTACTACTACTCCTGCCTCTTGGGGCCTCCTGGGCCCCCTTGGGGTGTCCTGTCAGACCGTCGGGCTTCCTCCGGCCACCTCTGGCTTCCTGCGGTGTACCGGGCCATTCTCGACTCGTCTGGCAATGCGTGCGCGGCATTCAACACGCGCTCGCCAGTTCCCGTCGGCAACCGCCATCGCGGCCGCATCAGCTGTACCAAACCGGCTGGCCGGTGTGACTTCGGCCCCCAGTTGTGCCAGCTTTGCTTCTTATGTTGTGGGAGGGCGGGTGGGACTGGGCATGCCATGCTTGACTCGCTCGAGCTGGCTAGCTTGACTCCTACTCCTACTCCTACTCTTACGCCTACTACTCCTACTACTCCTACTACTCCTACTACTCCTACTACTCCTACTACTCCTACTACTCCTACTACTACTCCTACTCCTACTACTACTACTACTACTACTACTACTCCTGCTGCTGCTGCTGCTGCTGCTGCTGCTGCTGCTGCTGCTACTACTACTACTACTACTACTACTACGACTGCTAATACTACCAGTACTGCTTCTGCTACGGCTACACATACTGCTACTATTATCACTACGACTACTACTGGCTCATGGCGCTCATCGGGTCATGGTGATCATAAGGCTCATCGGGCTCACAGGGCCCACGCCTGTAGGGCTGACAGGGCTGGGGGTCATGGGTCCCATCGGGCTCATGAGGTTCACAGTGCCCAGAAGGCTCATATGGCGTACAGGACCCATGAGGCTCATAGGGCGCATAAAATCTCATAGGGCTCTATGAGCTCGCAGGGCTCATAGCGCTCAGCGGGCTCATAGGGCTCAGAAGGCTCCCTCGTGAGGGTCATGGGGCTCACAGGGCCCATAGGGCTCATAGGGCCTCGTAAACCTCATTGGCCCTCAGGGCCCATGCGACCCACAGGGTACGCAGGGCTCATGGAGCACATAAGGCCGAGAATCCACATGAGCGCATTGGGCCCGTAGGACGCATGGGGCTCATAGAGCTACGTCCAGCCGAGGCCAAAATGGCACCCGAGGACAGCACAAAACGGCAAGGAACCAGATCCAGCCTCGTTGTCCCGCGTCTTTTGGAGCGCTGCCAAGAGACCTAGACCTCCGGCGTCCTGGTGTTTTCATGACGCGGGCGCCCAGACCTCGACCCCGCCCCAAGGGCATGTTTACAATTTGTTTTTTTCCTAAGCAAAGGACCCCAAAGGCTCCGAAAGGACTCCAAAGGGGTCCCCAAAGGACCCCAAAGGGGCCGCGAAAGGACCCCAAAGGGGCCCCCAAAGGAGCCCCGAAAGGACCCCAGAAGGGGTCCCGGAAGGACCCCAAAGGGGCCTCCAAACGGACCCCGAAAGGATCCCAAAGGGCCTCCGAAAGGACCCCAAAGGAGCCCCAAAAGGATCCCAAAGAAGCTGACCCCAAATTTGCCCCCAAAGGGCCCCAAAGGGGCTCCGAAAGGACCCCAAAGGGGCCCCAGAAGGACCCCAAAGGGGCTCCGAAAGGACCCCAAAGGAGTCCCGAAAGGACCCCAAAGGGGCCCCGAAAGGACCCCAAAGGTCCCCCAAAGGACCCCAAAGGGGCCCCGAAAGGACCCAAAGGGGCACATTCACTGATTCCACAGGTAGAATCAGTGAATTTGCCATTTCACTGATTTTACCAGTGGAATCAGTGAACTGCCCAATTCACTGATTCGAAAGCTGGTTTGGGGAAAATCAGTGAACTCGCAAGTTCACTGATCTCAACTTCTGGTTTCACTGATTTCTGCTCCTATGGGGCCACGAAGCGTGTGAGGGGTGGGCCGAAATGAGTGGCGGGAACGCATGCGAACTGTGCCACTGGGGTGGGCCGAAATGAGCGGCGGGGACGCATGCGGACTGTGCCACTGGGACCTTCGGCGGAGCTCCTATGGGGCCATGAAACGTGTGAGGGGTGTGCCGACATGAATGGCGGGGACGCACGCGGACTGTGCCACTGGGACCGTCGGCGGAGCTCCTATGGGGCCACGAAGCGCTGTACTGGGTGGGGGAGACGCACGCGGACTGCGCCACGGGGACCTTCGGTGGCGCTCCCCGTGGGGCCACGAAGCGCTGTACTGGGGGGGGAGACGCATGCCAACCGCGCCATTGGGACCTTCGGTGGAGCTCCCTATGGGGCAACGAAGCGTGTGATGATGTTGATGATGCTGATGTTGATGATGATGACGACGGTGACGACGATGATGACGATGATGATGATGATGATGATGGTGATGATAATGATGATGATGATGATGATGGTGATGATGATGATAAGATGATGATGATAAGATGATGATGATGATGCTGATGCTGATGCTGATGATGATGATGATGATGATGATGATGATGATGATGATGATGATGATGATGATGATGATGATGAGAGGAGGGGAGGATGGAGGAGGAAGGAGGAGGAAACGCGGGGCGCTGTCTCTTCAAAACGGGGACCCAACACCACAGGATGGTTGGGAAAAGCACCAGATGGACACTCGTAGTCCATCGTAAATTCATACTGTTTCTCAACACAGCTTTGCGGTTCCAGCTTGCATGTATTTGGCGTGGCCAGCGCGCCACCCGCCACGTCTGACACCCCCACCCTCCTGGACCACCTTTGTGTGCTGTTTTAGGCACCCCCACCATACGAAACCACGCGCCGAGACCCCCACCGCGCCACCCACCACGTCTGACACCCCCACCCTCCTATCCTTCTCTGTGTGCTGTTTTAGGGACCCTCCACCCGACGAGAACACGCGCAAGGACCTCCACCGCGCCACCCACCACGTCTGACACCCCCACCCTCCTGGACCTTCTTTGTGTGCTGCTTGAGGCACCTCCCACCGTACGAAAACCACGCGCCGAGACCCCCACCGCGCCGCCCACCACGTCTGACACCTCCACCCTCTTGGACCTTCTGCTGTCTTAAAGACCCCCCACCCTACGAAAACACGCGCCAGGACCCCCACCGCGCCACCCACCACGTCTAACACCCCCACCCTCCTGGACATTTTTCGTGTGCTGTTTTCAGAACCCCCCACCTTACGAAAACACGCGCCGGGACCCCCACCGCGTCACCCACCACGTCTAACACCTTCACCATCCTGTACCTTCTTTGTGTGCTATTTTAGGGACTTCCTATCCTACGGAAACACTCGCCAGGACTCCCACCGCCCCACCCACCACATCTGACACCTCCACCCGCCTGGACCTTCTTTGTGTGCTGTTTTAGGGACCCTTCACCCTACGAGAACACGCGACGGGACCCCCACCGCGCCACCCACCACGTCTGACACCTCCACCCTCTTGGACCTTCTTTGTGTGCTGTTTTAGGAACCCCCTACCCTACGAAAACACGCGCCAGGACCCCCACCGCGCCACCCACCACGTCTAACACCCCCACCCTCCTGGACATTTTTCGTGTGCTGTTTTCAGAAACCCCCCACCCTGCGAAAACACGCGCTGGGACCTCCACCGCGTCACCCACCACGTCTGACACCTCCACCCTCCTGGACCTTCTTTGTGTGCTATTTTAGGGACCTCCCATCCTACGAAAACACTCGCCAGGACTCCCACCGCGCCACCCACCACGTCTGACACCTCCACCCTCCTGGACCTTCTTTGTGTGCTGTTTTAGGCACCCCCACCCTACGGAAACACGCGACGGGACCCCCACCGCGCCACACACCACGTCTGACACCCCCACCCTCCTGGACCTTCTTTGTGTGTTGTTTTAGGAACCCCCCACCCTACGAAAACACGCGCCGGGACCCCCACCGCGCCACCCACCACGTCTGACAATAGGGAAACACCTCCCGTCTCGTTTTTTCACAACGCGACGGGGTCTGGTTTCTCATCTACTCTAACCCCATCTGTGCGGCCCAGGTATGAGCAACGGGCGCACTCCTCCTACGGGCCTCGAGCAACGGGCGCCTCCTCCCACGTGCGAATGGTTGTTGTCGTGGCGGCACGCACGTTGGTTCCTGGCCCAGGCCCTCTCCCGTCGCGGAAAAATCGAAACGGACAGCTGTTTGCTAGTTTCGGCCTCCAGAGGCCCTCGCCGCGCCCGGGGGCCGCCAGAAAACACCCCAGGGCAAGAAACCAGTCCTGGGAGAGGGTCGAAAGCTCTGGGGACCCACGTCGTGGACAAATCGATACTGGTTTGGCTGGAACTGTTTCTTTTTTTGTCGCGGCAAATCGTCGATATACGCCTGGGGTGAAACATCACGCTGATACGACATCTCCTTGAAACGTATCGGCTCCACCGGTGAGGAAGAGGAGGAAAGAGGAGGAGGAGGAGGAGGAGGAGGAGGAGCGAGGAGGAGGGAGGGAGAGGCGAAACAGTCACCGCGTATCAACGGGGTAAACCATGGCGCTGCCACCTCCTGTCGAAAGTTAGTGTGGCCTCCTGCCACCTGGGCCGATGGCCTGCGGCAGGCGACGGCTCCTGCGGCAGTCGCTGCGGGAAGCGCGGGGCGCCCCAGGCAGAAGGGCGATCGCGTCCGCATCGTGGAGGGCCAGTTCGCGGGGCGCACTGGCACGGTCGTCGGTGCAGGCGACATCGATGGCGCTGGGCCGCGCACGAAGCTCGCCTTCGAGCCGTTCGGCAACATCGTGCGGGAAGTAAAGAGTGTCATTGGTCCCGCCTCACGGCTTGCAGACAAAAATTATCCTGGCGAAGGACCCAACCATATGCAATTGTGAATAACGCTTTGTGGGTGCCGCCTTCGGTGGGGCTCCCTATGGGGCCACGAAATGCGTGCCACGAAACGCTGTCCTGGGCGTACGGGACGCATGCGGGCGGTAGCACTGGGGCCTTTGGTGGAGCTCTCTATGGAGCCACGAAGCGCTGTCCTGGGACGCATGCGGGCGGTAGCACTGGGGCCTTCGGTGGAGCTCCCTATGGGGCCACGAAACGCTGTCCTGGGCCCTCGGCGACGAAACGAGTGAGGGGTGTGCCGAAATGGGTGCGGTGCCGCCATGCGAACGCAGCCAGTGGGGCTCTCGGTGGAGCTCCCTATGGGGCCACGAAACGTGTGAGGGGTGTGCCGAAATGGGTGCGGTGCCGCCATGCCAACGCATGCCAACGCAGGGGGCCCTCGGTGGAGCTCCCTATGGGGCCACGAAACGTGTGAGGGGTGTGCCGAAATGGGTGCGGTGCCGCCATGCCAACGCAGCCACTGGGGCCCTCGGTGGAGCTCCCTATGGGGCCACGAAGCGTGTGAGGGGTGTGCCGAAATGGGTGCGGTGCCGCCATGCCAACGCAGCCACTGGGGCCCTCGGTGGAGCTCCCTATGGGGCCACGAAACGTGTGAGGGGTGTGCCGAAGTGGGTGCGGTGCCGCCATGCCGCAGCCACACTCGGTGGAGCTTATGGGGCCACGTGGGTGAGGGGGTGCTGGGTGCGATGCAACGCAGCCACTGGGGCCCTCGGTGGAGCTCCCTATGGGGCCACGAAAGCGTGTGAGGGGTGTGCCGAAATGGGGGGTGCCGCATGCAACGCAGCCACTGGGGCCTCTCGGTGGAGCTCCCTATGGGGCCACGAAACGTGTGAGGGGTGTGCCGAAATGGGTGCGGTGCCGCCATGCCAACGCAGCCACTGGGGCCCTCGGTGGAGCTCCCTATGGGGCCACGAAACGTGTGAGGGGTGTGCCGAAATGGGTGCGGTGCCGCCATGCCAACGCAGCCACTGGGGCCCTCGGTGGAGCTCCCTATGGGGCCACGAAACGTGTGAGGGGTGTGCCGAAATGGGTGCGGTGCCGCCATGCCAACGCAGCCACTGGGGCCCTCGGTGGAGCTCCCTATGGGGCCACGGAACGTGTGAGGGGTGTGCTGTGATAGTGGGAGGAGGGAGGGGGCAGAGGGAGGAAGGAAGGAAGGAAGGAGTGAACGCGGGGCGCTGTCTCTTCAAAACGAGGACCCAACACCACAGGATGGTTGGGAAAAAACAATTTTGCACCAGTGTTCCAGTGCATCGGAAACCTTCTGGGCATCAAGCGCCGCACGACCACGGAAGTGGTTAGTCGCCCGGAACAGGCATACGTGGCGAGTGCTGCCAGGCTGAGCTCGCAGGCTGGGATCATATGAACTCCTATTTACAAAAAACAGAGGGGCAGAACCATATGTAAATTGTACATATATGTAACTGTTCATCCCAAGAGGGGGCGGCTGAATCAGGCCCCTGGAGGGTGGTGGATCCCGTCGTCGTCGTGGTCGTCGTCGTGTTCGTCGTCGTCGTGTTCGTCGTGTTCGTCGTCGTGTTCGTCGTCGTGTTCGTCGTCGTGTTCGTCGTCGTGTTCGTCGTCGTGTTCGTCGTCGTCTTCGTCATCTTCGTCCTCCTCCACCTCGTCCTCCTCGTCCTCGAAAAGCTACGGGGACCGCCTCTTGACGCGGCGCAGCATGTCTTCCAAATGCGCGCGCCGATGCCTAGGAAATTCTCCACAAAATTATTGATACATACCTATACGACCACCCTTCGGGTGATAAGGAGGTTCGGGGGGGGAGGAACCAACGTCTCACTCGATCGGTCTCACTATCGATCTCACTATCGATCTCAGTATCGGTCTCGCTCGATTGATCTCCCTCGATCGATCTCACAATCGATCTCACTCGATCTATCTCACAATTGATCTGACTATCGATCTCACAATCGATCTCACAATCGATATCACATTCGGTCTCACTATCGATCTCACTATCGATATCACAACCGCTATCACAATCAACGTCATCATCATCATCATCACAACAACATCAACATCAACATCATCATCACCAACATCATCATAATCGGGACACCGTCCTCATCATCAACACCAACATCATCATCATCACGGTCATCAACATCATCGGGACACCACCATCATCATCATCACCATCATCACAATCACCATCATCATCAACATCATTATCATCATCAGCAGCATCGGGACACAGTCATCGTCATCATCATCATCAGCAGCAGCATCATCATCGGGGCACCATCATGATCACCATCGTTATCATCATCAGCACCATCATCGGGACACCATCATCATCATCTCATCCTCATCATCGACACCATCATCATCAGCATCATCAGCATCATCATCAGCATCATCATCATCGTCATCATCGGGGCACCATCATCATCATTACCAACATCAGCAGCATCATCATCATCATCACCATCGGGACGCCATCATCATCAACACCATCATCATCATCATCATCATTACCATCATAATAATCATCATCATCGGGACGCCATAATCATCATCAACCTCATCATCATCAACATCATCATCATCGGGACACAATCAGAATCAGCATCATCAACATCAACATCATCATACTCATCATCATCGGGACACCATCATCGTCATCATCATGATCATCAACATAATCATCATGATCATCATCATCCTCATCATCGGGACACCATCATCATCGTCATCATCATCGTCATCATCATCGACATCATCATCATCATCAACATCATCATCATCATCATCATCATCATCGGGGCACCATCATCATATCATCATCATCATCATCATCATCATCATCGACATCATCACCATCATCATCAGCATCACCATCTTCATTATCATTATCATCGTCATCATCGTCATCAGCAGCATCATCATCATCATCACCATCATCATCCTCATCATCATCATCATCACCATCTCCATCATCATCATCATCATCATCATCATCATCATCATCATCATCATCATCATCATCATCATCATCGCGGGACACCGGCGGGACACCGCGGGGCACCGCGGGACACCGCGGGACACCGCGGGACGCCAGCGGGACACCGGCGGGACACCGCGCGCCACCGGCCGCCCGGAAGAGACACATTTGGTCCGGCCGCGCCTCAGCCACAGGGACACCGACGGGACACCAGCGGGACACCGGCGGGACACCGCGCGCCACCGGCCGCCCGGAAGAGACACATTTGGTCCGGCCGCGCCTCAGCCACAGGAGACTTTCCTCTCGCCCGCCCACGCAGCTTCGCCTCGCCCGCGCGCACGGCACGCACGAACACGAAACCGAAATCGATTTCCCGGTAGGGGGGCTCTCCGTTCCACTTCGATCTCACCCCCTCACCTCCGATTCCTGAAATAGAATGAAGAAGGAAGACAGACTGACCGGCCACCCTGACGGCCACCAGGCTGCGAGGAGTAAGTTTGTGCACCCTGCAAGCAGTCCTCGGCTCCTTGCAATCCAATGCGAGTGTGGGTCTGGTGGTCGTTTCGGCGCCCTTCTTCGGCAAAGGGAAAAAGATGAAAACCGGAACCAAAACTGGAACCGGAACCGGAACCAAAACCAGAACTGAAGAGGGCCGCAAAAAAGGAAACCCAAACTGGAACCAGAATGGGGACCTGGAGGGCCCCCCGAACCAAAGAAGAAAAAGGAAACAGGAACCGGAACCAGTACTGGAACCGGAACCGGATCCGTGACCTAGGAGGCCTTCTTCGGAACGCGGAAGAAGAAAACCGAAACCCGAACCCGAACCAGAACCAGAACCAACATCTGAGGCGTCCTTGGGCGCAAAACAAAAAAACGAAACCGGAACTAGAACCAGAACCACGACGACCGTCACGGACCAAAGAAGAAAAAAGAAACTGGAACCAGAACCGGAACCGGAACCAAAACCGTGATCTGGGGGGGTCTTCTTGGGAGCCCCGAAGAAGAAGGAAACCGGAACCACAACCGGAACCGGAGCCAAAACCGTGACTAAAAAGATCTTCTTTGGGACCCCTAAAAAGAAGGAAACCCGAACCAAAACCGGAACCGGAACCGAAACCGCGACTTGGGGGGTCTTCTTTGGGACCCCGAAGCAGAAGAAAGAAACCGGAACCAAAACCGGAACTGGAACCAAAACCATCGCGCTTGCACGCTCCCGAGGTGCCAACGGCTGCTCTGGATGGCGAAATAATCGGGGAGGGGGTGACGAACCAACGTGCCTGACGATAACCCAAGAGGCGCCCAAAACGCCTCAAGAACGCCCCGCGAGGAACTCGAAGAGGGCTTCGAAAAGCGGAAATCAATCAATGCACATTGGCTGTTGCAGCGAATCTACGCGCAGGAGACCCCAAGACGCCTCCACGACGGCCCCAGAGGATCCGAAAAGCCCCAAATAGAGCCCCACGCCCCGATTCCCCCCGAAACGCACCAGCTGAGGTCGGCGGCAGAGGCGGCAGCCTTTAGATTACTGGCGGATGCTGCCAGGCGAGAGCTCCGGCGAGCGTCCGACCGGCGCGGCGGTGGGCTCGACTCGGCAGCCTCTCTGCGCAGCGCCTCAAGAGGTCCGGCGTCGTGCGGCCTTCCGCTCCCCCTCTGCAGCCACGCGCGGCGGCTGGTGTGGTGACTCCAGCTCCAGGGGCCCTCACCGACCCTCAGCGGCCCCTGGTAGCAGCCGAGAAGGGAGCAACCGCACAACGAGACTCCTTGATGGCCTTGGCGTAAGGCTGCACCCAGTAATGTGTGTGATTGTGTTCTGCAGCAGTGTATGCGGCGAGCACGGCATTGTCCGACATATTGATTGATGGTCTAAAACCATCATTCGAAGACTTGACTGGGTCGTCCCGTTTGTAGATGTGAGAACCAAGTGTGGACGAATGCTCGACCTTCAGACCCCCCGGCGGAAAGCAGGCGAGCACGTTGTCGGTTATATCGATGTCAAACATATATGTGTGATACCTCGTACTGAGAACCATCCACTCTTCTATCCAATTATGAGGGCCCCAGCTCAATTCATCTGGCTTGTGTCGAAGGGCCCAGTTCAGAAAACGTTCGTCCCCACATGTATGAGCGCAAACCTGGTCCACACATTGTTGTTTGATCCCAGACGTCTTCCAGAAATCTTTCTTTGAGCGTGGCGCCCAACCATGGTGCCAACACACTTGTTTGAGAGCAGACCTCATCCATGGAATTTCCTCACGTACGGGCAACAAGAAAAGCGTACTCTGCGCGCAGGGCTCTTTCAGAATAGAACCAAGCCCACGCCACATGTGAGAGCCTGATATGGACCAATTGCAACGTTCACGCAACACTCCTTGAAGAAAATTGTCACGCGCTTGATTGACCGCTAACCGACCTGTGGCAAAATAATATTTGATTGTTTCGCCCGCAGTCTTAGCAGAACCTCCGACGAAAATGTGAGTCAGACCGTTCATGCGGACATACTCTCTCATATTTTCACATAGGTCGTTGACCTTCCAACATCTTAAACGTCTGACACTACTTGAAAACATGATGTCGTATGAGCTCGCTGGCTTGCACATGGCCCATCGTGTAATAGACAGGGTCCATATTACTGCGGAGAGGGTTCCAACTACATGTACTGATCGAGATAACATGAATTGGTCAAAACTCGAATCAAATGCTTGAATCCAAATGGCTACGGAGGACATCAACATCCTCTTGTGCCGTCTTGGGATCTTTGGACCAACCCTCCAAAGGCACTCTTGGTACGCAACCGCTTCGCACATAAGCCGAAACACCAGAATATAGTAAGCCGTGCAACGTCTCATTCAGTACCTTGGCCTTTCATAGCTTCTCAAGCCCCCCTCCCCCCAGGGTCTCCAAGAGTCCCTCGACATGTCCTCAAGCCTCCCCGAACATCCTGCTGCGCCTCAAATGCCTCGAGATTTGGCAAGATGGTGTGACATGGTCCCTGGTCCCAGTGCTGCGCCAACAAGACTGCTGCATCATAGGCTAAATGTCCAAACAAAGCTCCTATATGGCCCCAACAGCCGGCGGTGACGGCGGCAGCGGCGCAGACGGCAGCGACGACGGCGGCGACGACGGCGGCGGCGGCGACGACAACCATCGCATGCTCCCCTTATTCCTGCTCATTTTTTCCCCCTTCGACCCCGCCTTCTGCTCCTGTTCTGTTCGCACCCTTCCCGCTTGCCCCCTTCCCTCCATATTGCCGTCCCTTCCTCCCCTCATCGTCCTCCTCATCCTCCCCCCTTGCCTTTTTCCTTCCTTACCCGCTTCTCGCCCTCCCCAGTCTGATCCGATTGGGCGGACATGGTCGCGGAGGCAGACAACTATAACCAGTGGCGCAATCGGGCGAGTTTAAGCTCGTCGCAGGGGCGTCCGCCTGCTGCGTCCAAGATGGCACCGCCTTCGCCCAGAATGGAGTCCGAGGCGATTAACTTCAAAGAGCTGTTTCTGTCGCTTGGGTCCACCAACGCCGTCGGAATGAGGTCCACGTCCTCGGAGAAACCAAGGAGATACCGATACCACTACTCCGCGGACTTTTCCTTTGGTGCATTCTGGCCAGGATTCCGTGGCGAATCCAGCCGTGGCGACGAGGGTTCCCCAGAAGGGCCAACAAGAACAAAAGCTGTGGAAGGTATTGGTATCGGTACAGGCCGATGGAAGGACGTTGATACAGCATGCAGTAGGAAGCGGTTCAAGTAGATTGTGCTTCGGCCCACCAGGGTAGCAGTTGGTCCAGCGAGGAACCATCGATTCGTAGGAAGGCGTCTGAAGTATGTCGGGATCTCGATTTCCATGAATACATCTATGTTTCTCCCCCCTGGGTCCTGGAGGCGCTCCATCTTCGCGCCCATCGACTGGGCCAACCTGTGCGGGGGGTCGGCGGGGGGTTATGACGCGGCGCCGCCGACGCCAGTGCACCCAAGGTGACAAGACGCGGGGGGGGGAGGATCGAGGTTCGAAGATCAACAATCCCGTAATGGTGCTTGCGCAAAAGGGTTCTGATTTGCGTAATAAAAAAATGGACTGGGTGTCCCGGATCGCCGCCTGGTGAGCGCCCGCGGGCGCCTCGAGTTGGCTGGGCGTTCCGGATTTTCGCCTGGTGAACGCCAATGGGCGCCTCGAGTTGCTGGGCGTTCTGGGTTTTCGCATGGTGGGCACACGTGGGACGAGGAGGAGGAAGAGGAACAGGAGGAGGAGCAGGAGGAGAAGGAGGAGAAAGAGGAGGAGGAGGGGAAAGAGGGTTTCAGGGTTTCCAGGCGTAGAGGCGCCAACTACTTGCCCGCCAGCGCTCTGATCAGAAAAGAGCTACGGTGCAACCCTTCGGGCCCGCCTCTCAAGCTCAGAAAATTGATTATAAAACTGGGCCGGGCTTCTGGGCACCAGAACCGGAAGAACTTCCCAGTCTTCGGGTGCTGTCCTGCAAGGATTTTTGTTCTTTCCTGCAAGGATGTTGCCGAGGGCCTCCTTCGGGCCCTTATCCAACCTATCCCTGCACAGTGTCTTCCACAGGGGCCCCAGCCCCTGGGAACAGTGCGCCCCCCACACCTCAGACAGAAAACGTGAGGCCCTCTGCGCCCCATTCGGTGACCAAGCTCAGCGAAGTCAGCATCACCCTGCCCCGTCGTGTTCGCCTCCAGGGAGGCATGCGCACGGGCTCCAGGGTCCCCAGGTTCTGAGCCAGCCACGCGCGCCGACGCAGAAGCCGCCGCAAGCGCCGCTCCGATGGCTTCAGGACGGGCGACAGGGGTGACCTGGCGAAATCTGCCCTCAGGGCCGAAATCCATGTTGGCACGGCATACCTAAAGCACAGACGGGTTGCCACATTTGCCTGACCCACTGGTGAGGTGCTTTTCAGTCTGAGCTGTACGAGACTGGGCAAGTCACCTCCTACACACCAAATGACCAGGACTTAGACTACAACATTCGTGCTCCTGAAACGCGAGGAGACGACCGGGGAAGGCCCCTCGCGCAGGGCCAGAGGTTTTGCATTCGCGGGCACGGGCCTCAATGTGGACATCAATCAGCTCCCTGGACACAGCGCGCTGAGCACTCGCCCAAGAAAAGGATTTCGCGCGACGCTTATACATCCTAAGCTTCTCGGCGGCATCCTCGACCAAGGCGTCAGCCACTTTATGGTCATTCGCCCCCAATCTCGCGAACAAGTCAGCCCAACTATTTCCAAGCTGCCAGCGGGGAGGCTTGTCAGAATGGGCCTCGACAAACTCACCCAGGTCCAAAATGTGCTGGGACCCATGCGAAGGGAGGGGGCTCATCACGAGACCTGCGCACATTGATGATTTGGCGTCAGACCAAGCAGTGCGAGCCCTCAGAGGTCTCAAAGTTGGGACTCCAGTCCTGGCCCTCCCGAACGGCCTCAAGGAGATCCGACGCCAGAGCCCGGACGCCAGGGAAGTACTGCAGGGCCCGCAAGAACGCCGCGCGTTCGGCGATTCCAACAGTCTAGACGGGGCCTGGGAGTGGCCCATAGCAAGCTCTGACAGGAATCCCTTCCCTCCTGATCTGAACCGCCGCCCGCCCACATCTTCAGAACTCTATCCATGAACTGTGCGATCCAGATCCGTCCGTGAAGGCCTCGCGTGACCACGAGTTGGGGCATGACTTCCAGTCTTCCCAGAAACATATTGGCAATGACTTCGCTGGCGCAGCCAATTTCATGGGAGCACGAGGCAGGCCGAGGCAACAGTCCATGCTGTTCCAGCTCTCGTTGCCATACATGTCCTCGGCGCACTCGTTGAGGTGATCCCTGACCTAGCTCAGCTCCTCGCTCCACTCAGGCAAACCGTTAACGATCTCGCCTTCCAACGAAAAAGGGCATGCATACATCGAGTGGCCGAGCGTACCTCGAAGCTGCTTCTCGTGGCAAAGCAGGATGAGGACATATCGGCGCCTTCAACTGCCTGCGTTCATGACGCTTGGCTATCGTCAATGTAGCCTCCAGACCAGAGCGCCCTCAGCGCTCCTGCCAACTGTGGCTTGTGGATTGCCCCCTCGGCTCGTCCAGCTAACAGCGGCGGGGCCCGCGTCCGGGTCACCTCACTGCCCTCCAAAGCCCAGGGATATGCTTGTAGATCTGACGGCCTTGCCAACGTCTCACCCCCTCAGACAGCGGCCACTTGATGTCCTTAGGCGCCGTCGTCATCAGAGAATAGCTGTTGCCGTCGTCGATGGTGAACGCCGTGCTGCTGGCCATGCTCTAACCAGTCCTTCTCGGACTATGCCAGCAAGCAGCCAAAGGACCCCTGACACCACCCCAGGAAGGGCTCGGAAACCCCCACTTCGCCGCGAGAACACGCCGAGCTCTTTCCAGTCGCCCCATCTCGGAACGCTTGTTACAGACAAAGCACGCGTACATGCTCGTGGCCCCCGAACCTGTCCCACTGCGAGGCCACGTCAGCTGTCAGACTCACTCCCCCCGACTTGACCCCACATGCTGCAGCCGCCGTCTGGCGCCGCCGTCGTAGATCTGGGTCGAGAGTGCCGGCCGCAGCAGACCAATGAGTGGACGAAGGTGCCAAACCTGCTCGCCGTGGTGCCTGGGCCTTGGCCTCCGCAACTCGACGCGGCAACTTAACCCTGGGCATCCTCGCCGTCAGCATGTCCAGGCGAGCCTTGGCCACTGGCCTCGAAACCCGCCCAAAGTAAAGGTCGTGCCCCAGTTTGCGAATCGCCGTCTTGGGCTGGATGCGTAACTGCTTAGCATATTGCCCAAAGGTTTTACTCGCCTCCCGCTTGATGCGCGCAAAGCCCGACTTCGACGGCTGCGCGAACAACCCAAAATGCCTCGCCCCTCGAACGAAAATCCGCGTAGCAAGTGCCAGCTCCTTAACGCGACGCAGCTGCTCGCCAACCCACTGCAAGGTAGCATCATCCATGAGGGCCCTCGGCGTGGCAGAAGCGCAAACCCGTCGTGTCTGTTGAAAAGGTCCTGTACATCAGCACTGTCAGCAACGTGGTCGCGTGTGTACAACCTGGGAGGATCCCGTGCTCGGCCGTGACCATCGTGCCAACGCTGCCATGTGTTTTGGCAGCTCGCGGCGTACAGTAATATGAAACCAACTGCCACAACATACGTACTGGATATCCGACGTGCCCCGCCTCGTCGAGCAGCTGATGTACCAGCGCCTTATCGAAGCACTTCCACATATCAATCAGCACCGATATTTCGTGCTCGCCCAGGAGATCCGCACTCTCCGCCGACGCGTTGTGGGCCAGCGCTGATGCTGACGATGAAAACCCTGCTCTGTTGCCTCGGGCCATGTCCGAGGGGTGGTCTGATACCCGCCTGCGCGAAAGAGGTCGGCGCGCTCTCGCCCACGCTCGAATGATGGAGTTCGTCAAAACCACTAACCGAGCACCTCCACTTTCCTTCGGTATTCGAACCATCTCGGCATAAACGCGACCAGCCGGCCAAAGCGACAGCGCTTCGCATTTCATGAGAAAGGTTGCCGTCGCCTCGATCTCCATGCCTGGACAAAAACCACAACGACCTCGGTTGAATCCTGCTCGGCCCCGCAGCAGTCTTCTGTGAGAGGGAAAGGATGGCCCTGATCATCATCGCAACGGTGACCTTGGAGAGCTCTGGCCAACTAGCATGGTCCGCAGGAAAAGGGAAGGCCTCTGCAACGTGGCAGCGCCAAACCTTCTTCCCAGAGTCCACCTCCTTGTCCGCCAACGCGCGCGGGGACTGCTCATCGCCAGACTACAAAACTCTTTTGCGCAGCCTGCAGCCTAGTGGACCTGTAGGCACCGCTTGCGCCTCGAGTGAAGGACTGGTCCAGCCATCTCCGCAAACGAGCCTGGTCCTGCCTGTCAGGGTCTTTCTGCTGGCTGTCGCGCTCTGTCAAAATGTTTTGAACCGTGGCGCCTGCCTCAGGATCGGCAAGAATAGCGAACTCAGATCTGTCCTGCAAAAGGTAGCAGCCACTCACTTGGGCATGTCATTCAGGCTGGCCGACTTACGCACATGATGGCAACAGAAACCCATGAGCACTGCGATTGCCTTTGCCAGACGACGAAGACCAGCGTGCGCGTTGACCACCTCCAGGGAACCATTTCGCGCCATGATCTTCTCGACGCATCTCCTCTGGTACGCCCTGGTATCTAGCAAATTTCTGGCCCATCGCCCAGCAGAGATCGTAGCCCTTAAAAAGGGCCCCAATCTGCTGTCTCACGTGCGGAGGTCGCCGCTGAGCCTCGCTGCCCACTGGGTCGTGAACCCCTTGCAAATCCTGCTGCCCCATGCCCTCCCGGCGTCCTTCTCCGCGCTGGCGTAGAATGTTTGCTGCTCCAGCAAGTCCCAGACGAAGGGGGTGCGCGCGCGCCCGACTGGAAGGGCCTTCGGGGACGCCTTCGGCTCCGCCGCAGCCTGAATTCATGCCGGGCGCTCCTCGCACAGAAATGGCGGTGTGCTTCCACAACCGAGTCATTCATTGCAACCGGTCGCCTAACGCGGGTCGCAAGGCTGACGCATGCCACTGCGTAGTCCAAGACGCTGCCAGGCATCTCCTGCGCGCGTGTGGGCCGCGACAGTATATCCAGGGCTCCTCCAACGCCGCCCAACCAGGACCTGCTGATCAACTCTGGCATTCGGCCCCGATCCCCTGGCACAGTCCAGTCGCGAGCTGCTTCATGTAGCTTCGCAAGATACGCGGTTAACGTGTGTGTCAGAGCCTCGTTCTCTGCCGTGAGACACACGCCTGAAACTGAGTGGACCACGATAATGACTGGGCCTCCTGGGGCGCCCCGTGCCGCATCCGCAGCGGCGATCCGACCGTCGGCCAGCGCTGCGCCTTCCATTCGCGGCGGGGCCTTGGCAACAACATGCGGCTGCGCCAGTGTGGCCA